TTCTTGCCAATCTCGTGTCGTCTCAAAGGCAAATAGAATAGTATAATTTTTTTGATATCTTTGGTGGGTTTAAAATCACGTTAGAAATGATATATCAATTTGGTTGATTTTAGTTTCCGAAGCTCAAATTTTATAGCAAGGAGATTGATATTGAAATTGAATACCGTTGTAAATTTTAGACTTGAATTCTATATTACAGATTCATATAGCTAGAAGAGCTTCTGGCCTATGATTGGAATCTTTCTGGATATCTTTTTTTGATTTTGACCCCAGAATCCCCAATTTTGCCCTACTAATTGGCTTAACATGACCTGACAACCTAGGTTTTTATTTTTAAGTCCAAAAATTTTTTTAGCTAATAAAATTTGATATTTATATTTAGAGTTTAACAATCTGGTAAATTGCTCAAAATTTCATATATTAAAAACTTTTGTGTTGCGCATCTATATAATAGAATTTAAATATAATCTTTTTCTCACACATTGTTTAAGTATCTGATAAATTATACTAAAATAGTTTATTTTTTTTAATAAAAAATATAACAATAGAGTCAATTAAAAATACAATTGAAGTAGGCGTAAAATTGTTAATTATTATAATTTCGCTAACTCTTTAATATAAATTAACCACATTTAGTTGATAGAATAAAGCTGCAAAATTGATTTATAAAGCAATACTTAATTTTGATGTATCATTTGATTTCCTTTTATGACTGCACTTCTGATGAAAATTAATTTATATGAGTTAATAAAATAATAATAAAACATGTTAAGAGAATTTTTTATGGGTGTTACATCCATCCTTTTCCCTATGATATAACATTAAAAGATTTTTTTGTAAAGCTTATAAGCAAAGAATTATCTCCCGAAGTTATATTGCTGTAACAACTTCTAAAATAGTAGAATGTGCTAAGCTGAGCAAAACACTAGTATCAGTTACAACTCAAGTTAGCCTTAATTGTAGTATCATAAAACTATTTGTAGAAGAACGCTTTTTCATATATTCTGGCACACATTGTCTAAACTTTCAATTAGATAAACTATCAGGTACTGAAGCCATCCAAAACGTTGGTGTGTCGCATTAAAGTATATAAAATAATATAATTATATAAAGAAACTTTATGAATAAACTTATAGAAATGCATGTTGTTGAATAAATTATAAAACTTATCATAAATATTTTTTTTTTCAAATCCAATCCTTGTGCATAAATAAATGAAATCTCTTTTAACATAACGCCAAAGCTAATTAACTTAATACATTATCAAGTATTTAATTTAATCAAGACCTTTCTGCAAATTTTGATCTTTAATTTGTAAAATAATTAGGTGGTGCATATTTGTAGTATCGCGTGTTATTAGATGATGTGATGCCAGAGATATTATTAATTATATCTTGAATATGTTATTCACATTGTGCATCAAAAACAAATTTTTTTTTATGAACTTTTATTTTTGAATTGCGGGAATAACACCAAATTAATGATCTTTAGACGAAGAACAATATGAACACGTTTGTAATAAAAATATAAATGGGGTTATAGGAATGTTTGCTTCTCTTTCTTTAGAAACGGCGTCTAAATGTGAATCATCAAATAACTACCCCTAATCCAGGTCCATTACTCCCCGAGAAGGCAAGATGATGTAAGTAATTATTACTTTCATTTACCTATTGTAATTTTCTTCCGAGCAAATATATTTCCTTAGAAGTTGCGTCAGGTACTTTGTACTTATCATTTATTATTAAATTCTTTTTTTGATATGATAAAAATTGTACCTTTTTTTATTTTTTTAAAAAATTTTACTAATAATTATATTATCGTGTTTATTCGTCAACTCGTTATTGACAAAGAAATAAAAAAAAAAATCATGCATTAAAAAAGATAGAAGAAAAAATGTCGCATTTTTCTATATTAAAAAGGTTGCATAATAAATTGACCCGACCTACGACAACATACCAAAATATGATGATAAAGAAGTTTGATTTTTTTTTTTTTTTGCTTTCTACATAAAGTTTAAAGATAACCACTTGAACACCCTGAGGTTATGGCAAATTCGGGAACATTCAATTGGTTCAAGACTTGGAACACACTACATTCATTACAGGCACAATAGTAATAAAATGACTATTCTCGGATCTTGCGGATCTATAAGGGCTGTAATATTGAGTTGACATGATAGATCAAATATTTAGTAACCAGTCAATGTTAATTGATACCCTAAATTGGAATGCTTGCATTACATACATTTTTGTATTAATATAATCTTTCATTTAATGATATACCAATTCGAAAGCATTTAATAACAAACATATTCGTTAACCAAAATTTTCAATTCGTTCGATACATCACCTTTAACGTTAATTTTTGAATATTCAAACTTCCACAATGCAAAAATACCCTATATGATTAAGATATCGTATTTGTAATAATCAAATTCGAGTTTATATAATTTGCTCGTAACAATAAACCTGTGATGAAATCCAACCTGACACAAATAGTAAAAAGAAGAAGCCGTGTCCAAAATCCATGCTATCAAGGATTGGCTTAGAACCATTGAAGTAAGGGATTTTGAAAAGGTATCATTGGATGCAGAACAATTAGATAAGGAAGCGATAAAAGTTATAGAAAAGCAGCTGATGAATTTCTTGAATAAAATAAACTTACTAAATACGAAGTTAAAAAATTACATGTATATATCGATCAATAATTTTAAATATATCTTAGGAAAAAAATGTTAATGCTTCAATAACGAAATAGGCGCCTTTCTATTATAGAAAAAAAATCAATTACCGATGGTTACATTACATATCATTAATTTAGAATTATAGATTAAATGTAATAAATGGAAATGTTTATGTTAATATTATAGTGCTCACCTATATGATGTAGTCGATCTTATTTTTAATATTTTTTGTGATTACTCAGATTATTTATGATAACCCGGATTCTGAAATTCTGACGGGTCGCAGCTCTATTTGTGAAGACATGAAGAAATTTGAAAATGAAGTATTGAAGTTTGCTTATTGTAAGTTTACAATTCTTATCTCGATCCTTTATATTTTACTTTTATTACGGCTAAATACATTGTTAAGTAATATAAATAATGAATAATGTAATGGGATGGGATAAGTTAATTTAATAATAAAACTTGAGAAGAAATATGATCACATTTTGTGAAATTGCTGTAAATGAGGCGCGCTAAAGTCCGGATAAATTTTTTCTAGTACAAAAACCGGATATACCGAATCCGGTTGGAATCGAAAATTCGGGATAAAAGAAATCAGGTTAATAAATCTGGTTTCAAATGTTTGTTTTGTCAATTTTGAGTTTCGATCCTTATATTTAAATCTGATGAAACCGAAGAAACCAGATAAATAAATCGTTTCATTTATTTTTCATTATTTTATTTTGTGAATCAAATGCCCACTCCCGACTGTGCAATGTCAATGTAATTAATCTATTTGTTTGGAATGCACATAAACGGATTAATTCAAGAGCTCTTCTAATTGCATCACTAGTTAATTCGGGGTTGACGACCCGGCAATTTTTAAACCAAGGAAACAGGTTGGTGAGTTACTGTTGTCTTTATTCACATAGATTTTATAATCATACGATAAGATAAAACTTAATAAAAAAAGAAGAAAAAAGAAAATTTAATTAAAATTACAAAAAAAATTAATAACCCCGTTGGGTTGTCACAAGTACCTTAGATTTTGATCATGTGAAGCTGCATCATCTAAAAGGGAAAATTTAGTAATAGCTTGAAGGGTTGATTTAATGTAGGTGTATAAATTACCTACAAAAAAAACAGTGAGACCTAAAAAAAAAAAGTTATTATCTCTAAATTTCGCTGCTACCTTTCTTTAACTTGCCTTTAAAATTCGTGAAGTATGTTAATGAGCCACCTCAAAAAATGCATTAAATACAATTGTGTTGAAATATACTTACTTTTGAATACCAGTTGACTTCCCAGTGAAAAATCAAATACTTTTCAAAGCTGAATGTAAATACATCAAGGATGAAATAGATTATCCGATTTTCAATCAAATTCTCAATACCTGCTATGAGAGAAACTTCATCACCTTATTCATAGTTTGATTTATTACGCGCATTAATTACTCTGCAGAGACGTCTACGATCTTGGCGATTAAAGTGCAAATGAACTAGTTGCACAGTATCATTGAAATTTACGTATCTTTGGTTGGATTAACTTCTAATCAATGATATTATAGCAGAATCCTTGAATTTGTTGAGCTTACATTTGGACGTTCCTCTTTCTGTACAGCTTTGATTATGAGAAATTCCTATAAACAATTTGGAAATGATGACATCGATATCGACAATATTGATATTTCACCAATAGTTTTGGAAAAGAGCTAAAGTATTTTCAAATAGGTGTCGGAGAGGGCATAATTAGTATAAATGTAATATTTAAATAAAAAACTCATAACAACATTCAAATAAAGAAATTTTTCGGATAAAAATATTAATTGCTCTTACATTTTATGTTGCGACCACGTTTAATAGGTAAAGATAGAATAATTTCATCGACTAAGGTGGAACTTTCAAAAGATTAGAGATTACTGCACCAAAGTCTTGCGTTTTACGTTACGTTAAAACATGTTGCGACAAGTGCACGAAAAGACTATTACTTCTTTTTATACTTCCGATAAGTGTACTTATAATAAGTAAGGTCTTTTCACCAGATACTTCTATTGTTTAGTTGGTGGTGACTTTTATTTAGAGAAGACGTGGCATTGTTGGACCTTCGGTTTATAAGCACTCCTCTGAAATTCCAAAATTTGAGCTTATAGAAAATTTTTGTTGTAAAAAAAAGGGTGGAATAAATAAAAAAAAAAAAATTTTTTATTTTTAGAAATTGGTACAGCAAGTATTCGAACCCAAGGCATGCTGCACGTTTCACACCATGCCAAACGCTGTTATATAAAAAATCAAATAACTTAAACTAGATTGCATTAAAATTAAAATTCGCCACATTAGTCATGTGAGGCGCAAGCTTTACTTTTACAAACAATTAAAAAAAATAAGCTAGCAATAAATTTTTTATTTTTTTATCTATATTTTATTGTAGAAATTAAAATTTCACGATGTATGTTATTTAAACACACGTTCAGTGAATGTTCATTTTTTTTTTAATAGGGTTGTTGGTAAATGTATTGCGGCCGTTGAAATTACCTTTTGAAATTACTATAACGCGTTTGTTTTGAAATTACATTTAGAGAAAATGCAGGAATTTTTATTGGTAAATCCATCGGGTCCACCACGAAAAGCGGTTTTATTGGTCGAGTCAGATGAGCAAAAATCTGTCGAAACTCCGCAGCAAAATAATGATCCAAAAAATCACGACGACGAAATACACCAAAACAATCTTCGGAAAATCATCAAAATAAACAAGCTCCAGATCAAAAACGTCGCGATGAGCATGCACAAAAACAAGTTTCGGAATAGCATCAAGATAAGCAAGCTCAGGCAGCTAATAACGATCAAAGAAGTCACGACAAACATGCGCAAAAACAAACTTCGGTTCAGCGTCAAGAGGTGCGTCAAGAGGTGCAAGCTCAAGCAACTAATAAGGAACAAACAAATCACGACGAACATGCATAAACAAAAGTTACGGTTCAACGTCAAGAGGTGCAAGATCAAGTAGTTAACAAAGATCAACGATACGGCGATGATCATACAACAAAAAACATAGCGGACCAACGAAAAGATATTCAAGCTCAAGTAACAGCACAACCACCTGGATAAACCAATATTCCGGGACAACCAAATCAACAATTTCCTGTTCAAATTCCAGCAAACATGAATACAATGCAATTTGGTCAACAGTTTGGCGTTCCAAATACTAATCAAGCTTTAGACGCTAATGCTTTTGCAGCTTTGCAAGCGCTAGCTATTGCGCAACAAGATATTTCACAAATTACGTCAACATAACAACCGTTACAAATGCCTTCAAATTTCATTGGAGTTGCATCGCAACAAGTACATCAACCAGCTGCACCCGATTTTTCAGCGCAAGTTCCGATGCCTACTGCGAATCCAGTAACCACTTTATCTAACGACGTTCTTCAAGCCAATATGCTTGCAGCTGGCTGAGGGAGTATACCTTTTAACGCTACTGGTGGAGATTCAGAACCAAGAGGCATTGTACTAAATGAATTTGGATCTTCTACAATGGAAATGGATTAAATCAATTACATAGCCTTTAACATTTCATAAAGTGAACTGAAATAAAAAAATTTTCTTTTATTAGATAAACGAGGTCCATTATAAAGATATTGATCTATGATATGCTTTAACTTCAATTATATTTTTTCTGACGCAAATTGAATTTCAAAGTCGTCTAGAAAGAATTAATTAAATTATAACAAAAGAAGAAAAATAATATCATTCATCTGAAATTTTTCATAAATTTTAAAAACGACTATATATCTATTAGTCTAATTTATTATACTCTAAGCAACTTGTAAGGAAGTTGACGTAGTTTATGGTAAAATTATTGTTTAACATATAAAGATTATTATTATGCAATGTATTACGTAACTATCTGGTAATAATTATCGCATTAGACATACACTTTTATTATGACTTATGAATTCGGAAGATCACGTGATTTTTAAAAACGAGGGTAGATAGAAAACCGGTACGGTACGATTCGCCAGACCAGTACGGTACGATTATGCAGATCAGTATTTTTCGCGAATTTGAATCGTACCGTACCGTACCTATAGAGCTTTTATTATAGGACCAGTACGGTACGGTACGGTATGACCTTTCGTAATAGACGTTGATAACACGGTGAATTTATTATAAAGTTTGTAATGTTTTAAAATTAAAAATTTTAACCGATTATTGATTATATTCCTTTTTATTTCAATAAAAAAAAATAATAATATAATCATTTTTGATTGAAGTACAAATGCATCATAATAAAATAAATTATTGTTTTGTAATTAAATTATTTTAATTTTTATGTAGTAACGCTTTTCTTTTTAATTTAATTTAATTAAAGTTATTTTGACAAACATACCGTTGAACTTTATGTCAGAAATATAAACTTTAAGATCTAATAATGATGCAGTACAAACCAGAACGAATTTTCTAAATTCGTACCGTACCGTACTGGTTCTATAATAATGCTTTATATATAGGACCAGTACGGTACGGTACGATTCAAATTTCCCGCGAAAAAATACTGATCTGCATAATCGTACCGTACTGGTCTGGCGAATCGTACCGTACCGATTTTCCATATACTCGAATTTCGAATAAATACGTTATCTAAAACCAAAATACTATAACAACCCAGATACGTGTTCATCTTAGGAAGCTTAAATAAGATAAAAACAAAAAAAAACAAAAATTTAAAAAAAAAAGAACAAAATAAAAAAAAATTTTATAAAAATTATCATATTTCATTATTACATAATCATTAAAATGACTAAATCACAATAAATTATTATATTTACCAAAATATTTTCAACAAAATTATAATAATCATACCATTCATTGGACCCTCTTGGATTGCATAAGCCAAAAGACTATTAAGACATAATGCCCCTTCTATAGTAAATCTTTTTCAACGAACAATAAATGTGGGTTTACACGCACGTTTTCCCCTAAAATCCCATCCATAACATCGAGAAAGTGTCCTCCTATCATATGCTGCTTCATCAGAAAACACGAGCTGTGTTGCAGAATATTGTGACATATGGACTATAAATTCTAATCTATATTGCTTGTTTAGACAACTAAAAATAAATAATAAATAAATAAAGTTGACTATAAAAACTGAATTGCATGTAAAAAATTTTACCTGTTTGTGTGTATAACCAAGACGGTTTATTGCTCTCCAAATGATGGCATAACTAATGTGACGGTCTAACCATAATTCCATTTCGGATTGTAATTCCCATATATACCAATCTACCTTTTCTTTTAGAAGACTTTCTAAATATTTCATATCATCAGCTTTAAATATTCTTGATCGCCCCACTTGCAACGATAAATTTTCCACACATCCATATTTTTTGAAGTATAAAAAAACTTTAGAAACTGAAGATTTGCAAATGTTAAGTTGTCTTGCTATTTTTCTACAGGACACGCCTTCCAAGGTCTTTTCAACTATCAACCAACGGAAATGTTCATTTAGTTTTAATTTGGGCATAATGTGAAAAATACTGAAAAAAAAAAGTACATCATGATAATTGTCACGTGTTTGTTATTGTTTTCCGAAAACCCGACAACCGACAACCCGAGAATCCGACAAGTTCTCGGCTAATTTTTTGTCAGGTGTCCTCTATATTTTGAATTTTGCTGTAACGTTAAGAACAAAAAACAATTATAAAAATCGCAAAATGATGTTCTTTAATCATGAAAAACCTCTATACTATTAATAAATATTATAAAAACAGTAAACCAATATTTAGGAATTTATCTAACTTTTTTTGTATTTTTCCGAACATTTACCAGAAAACTTCTATATTAATTAAATTTATACACATTTACCGTCATTTGTGATTTGTTTTTAGAAATTTATTAAAAATATTTGATGCGTGCGGTGCAGCATTATTTGAGATTTATCGTTAAGACGTTTAATACCTCGCACGAGTGTGACTTTTTTTTTTTTTTTTTTAACTAATTTCAAAGAATTCAATTTCGGACGAACAATGAAATAAACAATAATAATTAAGAACCAATCAAACAAGCGGAAATCTTTTTTTTTTTTGAAGTTTGTTTCTTGCATAGGATTACAAACCATCATGCATAGCCACATACATACATATAAGGTACATGTCATTATTGATAGAAGTTTATTGTTTGGATTCCTTGTTACTAGAGATTCTGTAAGATAATATCACATATGATGAAATCTATAAACGAATTTTATAACAAAACAAACAGTGAAGAGGTGAATTTACATTCAAGATTAAAATGGCCTAAATCCCGGCATGCGAAATCCTTCAAACCATTTTTGGTCTAGCCTTAACTCCACATTAAAGATTTTTTTCAGCGTGCAGTGCAACATGACTTCTCGGTGAATTTAAAAAGATTATATCCTATACATTGCACAAGTAAAAAAAACATTTATCGAATTTATCAATAACTGAACAAAACAAAATTAAAGTTCCATTACCAACACTTAATTAGTCTTTTCGGCTGCGGTTAAATTATGTAAGATGATATAATAAAGCTTTCTGGCGAAATGGTCGGAATCATGTCGATCGATTCAAAATTTATTAGATAAAATCATTCTTTATTCAATCTACATTTGCTGGGACAAGCACATGCATATTAATATCGTGTAACAATTTAGTTGAATTTTTTTTTTCGTAAATATTTTTTTTTTGGAAATTTTCTATGGAGCGGGAAGGGTAAAGCTAATAAAGAAATAACCCGCAACACCACGCATAAACCTTGTTCACAACAAATACAATTCGTGTGTTGATCTTTCATCTATTTGTTCTAAAAGTTACACGATCAATCAAAATCCAACGTGTCGGTTACCAAATCCGGATGTTTTATATTAAAAATTTACAAATTAGTCACCATAGGTCACCATAGGTTTAACACCTGTATCTGTGAAATTCGACGTGATACAAGTACATTTTCGTTACGAGAATTCGGAATTTTCGAAGTTCTTTTGATGAATTTTAATTGGTGTTTGTAAGCTTGTGAAAATTAAATAAAATACAGCAGATATTAGATTATGCCTTTGCGAAACGGTTGGAAAATCGCAAGGTGGTGTGGGAAATTTAAAAATGAAAAGATGTCGAGTTTTAAGGAGATGGATAATAAATAAATGGCGACATGTTTTTGTGATTACAAATTTAAAAGTATGAAGACGTCTCGTAAAGAAAAAACATTTTGTCACGTGATTTACAGATTTACAAGTTGCCAATCGGCTTGGTGGGCAGTTTTCGAATTTGCCTTCCATATACATCCTTTAACATCATTAGTTATCATTTAGTTTTTGGTGAGATGTGCATTGGCGAGCTCCATTCTCGCAAACTTCCGGTTGGTCGTTACCGTCCGAGACTTTGAAGTAATCCATCTATAAATTCTGCGCGCGCGGAAAATATGGATATAAAACAATGATGGATTTTTCACGTGAGCGGTCACTCCCAAAAAAAATTTTTTTTATTTTTATAATTTGGATCAACAGTTACACGCATATATTGAATTATATTAATTGCATAAAAAAAAAGAAAAAATTTAAAAAGCAGCTTAATTTGTATAATGCTTTTTAATCATCATAGTCATTTCCTTTCCGTTCTCCTTTCCTTTATTAAAATTTACCTTCCTTTTCCTCCTCTCCTCTCCTCTCCTCCTTCCCTTTAATTTCGATTCCCTAATTCCCTCTTCCTCTTCCTTCTTTCTCCTACCCTCCTTTTTACTTTCGTTGATATAAGAATATTTCACATGAGAACTAAAATATGAGATTGAGATCTTTAAGTCTCATAACCGCTCTAATTATTCTGTTAGTGTTAGGCGAAAATGGTTGGTTAATGGTTATCAATTAGGTCTGAAATAAATTCTGCATCTTATTTACGTCACGTTTATTAAACTTCAAATTTAATTAACAGGTTTTACAAATGCTCTTCATAATAATAAAATAATTAATCGCTCTCGGACGAGAACAGGTCTAAAAAAACGTTACAAGTCAGCCCACATGAGAAATTTACGACGCAATCAAGAAGATGAAAGAATTGTCGGTAAGTGATGAAAAAGTTTTTTCGAATTAAATTAATTTTTTTTTTTTTTATTCATTAATTTCATTTTTTTTTTTTCATTTTATTTTCCCTGGAACTTTTTAGTACCCTTAAATGAACAAAATGGTAATTAATGAAGAAAATTTTTATGTAACTTATTGACTTTTTATCCTCCGTAATCCGATTTGAAGGAAAATAAAAACAAAAATGAATTAATAAATTTATTTATTTGTGATTTACCATCCGATTTAAAAGGAACCGAAACTTTGATAACAAAAGATTCATCGACTGGCTCGGCAACTGTTAAATCAAATCAAGAACCACTCTTTCCAACCGAAACATTGTTTACATTACCAGTATTGACGATAACAAACACTCCCCCAACTGTTACAAATAATCCTACTACTAAAACATTAACCACAATTACAACATTCATAAGTGGAACGTTAACTACATTAACATCAACAATCGAAGTACCGATTACAACCGATACATCATCCGTTCCTACGCCAACTTTATCGATAGATATACCACCACCTAAAGAACCAGGTGACGATAAAACTCCACCAGATGATGGAAGCGTTCCAGAAAAAACTCCTCCGAATCAAGATGAAGTGGATGATAAATCAAATACTTCGGGAAAAGATGACGATGACGATACAGAGAAAAAATCTGACAAGAAACCTGGAGTTTCAAAAGAACCCAAAGGATCAGAAGAACCTAAAAATCAGGAAAAAGTACCGAAGGGTGATAAAAAACCTGGAAAGGCTAAAGCACAAAAAGGCGGTAAAAAAACTAAAGTGTCAACAAAGACTAAAGGGCCTGAAGTGCAAAAAGACCCTAAAGAACCTGAAGTACTAGAAGGACCTGAGATTTCAAAAGTTCCCGGGGAAGGTGGGGTTCCAGAGGGTGATAAGGAACCGAAAGTTCCCGGAGAAGGTGGGGTTCCATGGGGTGGTAATGAACCGAAAGTTCCCGGAGAAGGTGGGGTTCCAGGGGGTGGTAATGAACCGAAAGTTCCCGGAGAAGGTGGGGTTCCAGGGGGTGGTAAGGAACCCAAAGCTCCTGAAGAAGGTGGTGTGCCAGGGGGTGGTGGTAAGGAACCGAAAATTCCAACGGAAGGTGGCGTACCCGTCGGTGACAAAGAAAATGGTGTACCACCAGAAGAGCCAGAAGCACCAGGGGGCAAAGGATCAAATACGCCCGAGTCAGATGTACCAAAGTCGCCGGGAGGAAATAATGTGTCGGAAGTAACAGATAGTGATACGGGAAACAGTAAGACTTTGGGACTTGCAATTGGGGGTGTTTTAGCGGGCATAATCGCGATTGGAATGATGTTAATAGTATTATTGAAAAAGAACAAAATATGTACAGAGGAAAAGGAATTAACAGCAAGTGATTCAATGGAATCAGGTCAACCTTCTCCAGCAGCTCCACCAGAAGTTTACCTTCGACAAAATCGAACGAGCGCAAATTCTTCCATTATATCAACCATATCATCATCATCATTGAGATTGATTTCTGCAATAAAAAACTCAGTTTCTAACATCCTTCCAATACCAAATGATGCTGCTAATCTTACCGGTCGAAGCAAATTTATTGAACAACTGTGAGAATTGATTGTAATTATTCATTCATTAATATTTTTCAATTCATGTATATTAATACAACACCCGCCAACGGCTTTATATATATGTATACAATTTATTTAGATAGATTTTAGTTATTTAGAAAGGTAAAGGATATGCTCTTATAAAACCTACATGGAGAAAATTATTCATTAATTTAATATAATATATCATAATAATAAATAGTGATTTGTTATTAATTTTAATAATTATGTAGCATTTGCACAAACAAATTATTTTTTCTCTTTACTTTTCGAAAAGAAAGGTTTTATCGATCAATATAACTAAAATTGTAAAATTGTAAAATATTTAATTTTATTACATTCTTTTTATCTTTGCCTTACAAAATGTCAATAAAAACAATTATCCTTAAAATGAAATTGTTATTTTGGAAATGTATATCCATAATCCATATTTATAAAATTCTAGAGCCTAGGGTTAAACCTTTATCTAATTTCAATAATTTTATCAATTGCCAAGGAAGACAACATTATCAGTTTTGTTTTGTTTTTACCGGATTGATTGAAGTGAAAAATATTATTTCATCAAGAATACGAAACCAAATTTCTTTGAAATTTTTTACGTAGTTTATGGCGCATTAGTTCGTTCTAATGGGTTAATATATCATTTTAACATTGAATTATTTTAAAAAAAATAATATCATATATTATAAACAAGGACTGGAATAAAGTAAGATTCAGTCTTTTTTTAAAAAAAAAGGATGGCTGAAAATAATAATGTTTTGTTTATTATCACTGAGATAATTTAATACTTAATAAGTAAATAATATTTTTAAATAAACAATCAATTTTGGATTATAATGTTGGAGAAAACAAACAAATTAATGTCGGATATAAATCGGTTGTTAAATAATGAAAACTTTCTTGCTAAACGAGTTTAATTCAACTTTTTTTAGCATCTAGTAACAATTAATTTCAACAAAATTCTCTAGAAGGGATAATTATCAAATTTTATTAATTATCTGGTTAATTTCGCTTTCCAAACTCACTTTGACGATCGCACGTAATTTGGTATTTGGTATGGCAAAAAAAAAAAAGGGATCAGCTGGGCTAAATATTTGGCGTAATTACGTAACGATAAAAAATTTTTTTCCCATATACCCATATATAAATATGATTTGATTTTTTTTTTTTTTTAAAAAAAAAAAAAGGAAAAGAAAAAATGACAATATATTCTTTGCCCGAAGATTGTTTTTATGAGATTTTTAAACACATTAAAGATGACACGACAGTGCTTTACAATTGCCTATTCGCAAATCGATTTTTATGTAGAATAATCATTCCTTTTCTTTATCAAAAACCATTCTCGGTAGTAAACGGTGGTCTTAGACAATATTATTGTTTAACAAGAACGTACCTTTCTTGCCTTGACGAGGAAGAAAGGAATCATTTAAGAAAGCATTTTATAAAGTTTCCACAAGTGTCAAATTCACTTTTTGATTACGCAAAGTATTTGGAAGAAATTCCAAACCTAACGATCGCAGCGGAATGTTGGCTAATCTTTTTGAATCATTCTAGTGAAAAGAAAATATACATCAATTATAATGAGTATAATAAGCAATTGGATAAAGGAGAGAAATTGATCTTACAGGAAGTACTTTTTCATTTATTCTTGAGAAAGATTAAGAATTGCAAGGTGTTAAATATTCAGGCAAACTTATTTGACAAAAGCATCTTTAATATACGATTTTTCAAAAAGATTATCTCACATAACTCAAGTATAACATCATTACGTTTAATCATCTCTGAAGAAGAAATAAACGAATCAAACGAGGAATTATTTTTTAAATTCATTTCACTACTTACAAAAAAATGTTTTGACATTGAAGAATTGGAGGTCACGACATATTATTTTTATTATAATTCAATCTTGCAAGGATTAATCGAGATATTAATTCAAAATCAAAAGAATTTCAAAAGCGTTAGCTTATCATACCCAAATGATCGTTCGTTAAACGATCTTATTAAAATAATAAAAATGAAAAAGCACACTCTTACCACGATACATATAGATAATTCTTATAACTTTATTAATCAAAATGTTTTTAAAGCTATTGCGAATTGTGAGAAGATTGAGAAATTAGAATTTATCAATGCTAAAGGGTTAGGGTTGTTAAAGACTAGGGAAATATTTTGCAATTCAACTTTTGAGTTAAAGGAATTTACTAACCTTTATGATAGATTAACACCATTTTTTCACATTCGTCTTATACGTAAATTCGGTCATTCATTAAATAGGTTATCGCTTTATAAAGTGACTCAGCTAGCCGTTAGGCAAATTTCAGAGCTCTGTTTAAATCTTAAAGTGTTGCAAATAGTTTGTAAGGACATCAATTTGTCCGCTTATCAATACTTTAAGAATATGAATATTGAACAGCTCATCATTTATTCCGAAGAACATTTGTTATCCAATTATTACAGCAATATCTTTAAGTGTATAGCTGAAAATTTGCCTGGTTCCCTAACTACCTTTACGATTTACATAAAGGATCCAAACTCTATATTCTTAAGTGAGAATAATTGTATTAGTTATGACAATTTGGAAATGTTTTTAACTCATTATAAAGTTGGTTTAAAAACTTTAAATTGCAACTTCAATTTAAGAATCGAAAACATTGAACAAATCCTTGATCACGTAAAAAAACGAAAGGCTTTGAGATCTTTGGGTATTAGATCACCTCCTGGCTATTTATGGTTTGACAATGATAGGGTTAGGGTCAAGCAATTGTTAAATGAAATCAGAGAATATGATATTGAGATTCACAACATTAAAAATCATTTCTCTCCTTAGGTAAATGAAATTAATTTTACACATATTTAATTCTTCATTTAACAAAGGATATTAAATTGGTAAATTATGTAGAAAATACGGTAGAATAGAGTTAATAGGTCAGTAGCAAGAAAAGTGGTGGTTTAGGATTTCATAATATTGTTACATTAGATATAATTCCGCCCACAGACACCATAAATAATTTCGTATGAAAATTGTTTTCGATATTTGTAGTTAGTCCTTTGAAGATCATTTTAACACGACAGGATGTCAGGCTGTCCTAATAATTATTTATTTTATAAATACGAGAAGTATATCCTTAACAACTTAACATTCCACGCTCGCCCTTCTTATATTTGCATGTATACACCTTAAAAACCTTCCTTTATCCCTTCGCGATATTTTCGCTTTCGCCGCTTTAACATTATAACTTCATATTTGTAATTTCGCTTATTTTTTTTTAATTTCCGATTTTTCTTATTATTTTATTACACAATTTTTCGTAATTGCGCAATTTAATTTAATATATTGATATTGTGAATGTGTAGAACGCCGACGTTGAGGCAACACTGATTAAATTTATCATCGACATTACTTCAATTTACTCAAAAAACCTTCTGTTATATTTAAAATTGTTTATCAATAAATAACGAAAGAATCGATTACTAAATTTTTTTTTTATTTTATTGACATTATCTGTCACAATGAAAATTACAATTTATTGAAAAAATAAATATACAATAGATATAATGTTGTCGTAATTTTATAATCGTTTCCTTGCCATTTACACAGTATTCTGTATTTTTTTTTTTTTTGCTAAAACATATTTAACTGTAGATTTTAGAATCGATATTCTTTTGATTTTTGAATTATAAGTTTCATATTCCAATATTTTTAATTATTTTTTTACTATTATCTAAAATAATACAATTTAAACTATAGTTAATTGTTTGAATTCATATGAAATAAATTTAATTTATAAGTATATTACCGTCATAACCTTCATTCATATTACTTTCATGCTTTCGTTTACCTTTTTTTTGTAGACAGAATTTATTAATGATTAATGATAATGTAATCTGTAATTAGCAAATTAAATATAAATAATTACCATTAATGGATCTATTGCTTTTCGGATTATTAACTAGGTATAAAACATAAGATTAATTAATAAAGTTCTTAAAAAAATGATTTAAAGATCTATAAAACAAATTAATTACCAAAATCTGAAGAAATGGATTCTGCGGATTTCATCATGCTACTTAAAGATCTACTCTTATAAATAGCGTCTGGATTGTTGGTTATTATAGGTCCAATATCTGATGATTCTACAATATCGGTTGGTTTACTACGTTCAAGTCTAACAATCAAATCAATTTTACTTTCAATGACCCTAGATGATGGCCTTTTACTTGGATCAGGGTCTCAGAGTTCTTTCATTAAAGCAATATAACCTTCTGGTGCTTCTATATCACCAATTGGAGGACGTAACCCATCACAAATATCAATAATCAGATCAGTATCATGAGCACGATCCCAAAAAGGTCTTCTACCTGTCATACACTCCCACATAATCATACCAAAGCTATAAACATCTGAAGCCAAGGTATATTTTTCCCTTTGAAGAATCTCCGGGGCCACATAAGGAATAATTCCATAGATTTCATTATCTTCAGCTTCAGTAGCAGATTTACTTAATCCTAAATCACCTATTTTAGTATCATCAGCACCTACCAAAATATTTCCACCATGAAGATCACGGTGGATAATACCCTTGCCATGAATATTTGATAGACCATTTGCAATTTTGCATAAATGATTTAACTTAGCGAGCCAACTAAGATAATAAAAATTTTCAGCTATATAACTAATCAAATCTCCTGATTCACAATAATTCATAATTATCATAAAATCTTGGGTAATAGGATCTTGAGTAATTCCATAATAATCAATAATATTAACCCAACATGATTTTCTTAATTGATAAGATATTTTAAGCTGAAAAGATTTCTAACTTAGTATATTAAGATATTTATAATAAATCAGAATGTAATAAATTTTTACCTGGTTTAACGCCTTAGCAGTAAAATTTTTAGAATCGTTAAGTTTCTTAAGAGCAACTTGTTTATTAGATTCCCGTTTATATTTTTTTTCTTTGTTATTCCACAGTAGTATTGGACCATCAATACAAATAGCCTTGTAAACTTTACTAAATCCTCCCTCTCCAATAAATTCTATATTTTTGAAGCTATCATATGAAACAATCTCCTTTTTATCTCGTTTTACATTATTAATTTGCGTATATTTGATAAAATCGTCAATAACTTTATTTCCAATTCCAATTGTATTAAAGGTTACATTTGCTCTATAACAACTACGGCAAATTTTATGATTTTCTTCAGAATGTTTTCTCCTTTTTTTACATTCAATACATTTCTCAAATTTATGTTTAGGCTTTAATTTAACCACGGGTTGCATTTGCTGACTTGATGCGTCATTTGTCAAGTCAATTTTATTAGTGGTGCTGATTGATTGATGTTGATTCATGATTATAATAAATGAAAGATTCGTTTCAGGCATTCCAAAACCACTTATATATACTTTATGTTCTTAATATGTCGTAAATTCTTTAAGGAATTTCTGAATTCAATAAAGAATTCCATCGAAACTTCCAAAATAAATGCGAGGTTTATTTCAGGTAATGATCTTCAGATTATTGATTAACCGAACAAAAGAAAATTTCTGAAGTTTAATTGTTTGCTTACTAAATTCCATTGTTGTAGTATACAAATATCCAACCTATTTATTACGCAACATAATGATAAAATTTTAAATAATAAAGCAAGATAAAAATTTAAAACTATATATGGTAAATCTATAAAAAGTTATCTTACCAAAACAAGCCACGTACTTTAATTAACAAATTTGTTTGTTATATGGATTTTATGTATTTGTCTTGAAAAAAAAAATAGTTGACCTAAATCCATTATAAATTGTAATAAAACGTGTCGTGGTAGGCGAAAAAGAATTTTAAATATAAAGTTATATGTACCAAACGTTAGCAACATTTATTGAGTAATGAAAATATATCCAAGCAGAAAAGAAAAAAGCTTATCATAAATAAGCTCGAGATCCATATAAAGACAACGAAAGTATTGGGAGAAGGAGAAGAAATATCTTTCATGCCATTGTCTTTTAACCATTTTCCCTTGATTTCTTATTATGAATACTTAAACCTTTTCGCTATTTACATACAAAGTTCTGCGAAATATTAGAAAAATCCATGTTTCATGCAATCATAAAGTAAACTCACATGTGATTCTCTATAGCAAAAAAATTCTTTTAGTATCCTTTCTTTTTTTTTTAAGAAAAAAAAATGAGCTTTGACGCGCAAATCATTTCTTTTTTTAATTACTTTTTACATAAAGAATAAAAAATTATTTTGAAATATTTGATAATGTCAATAGTTGAACTTTCTTGTAAGGAAATTTGTATTTTTGAATGAATATGAGTGGAAACGAAACATCTTGAACATTAATATTTTTCCCTTTATATAAACTATCTGTAATATTTATCAATGTATTCAAAGTACAGAAATTGTTAATATTTTAATTTCCATAAGCATAAATTCCTTGAATGCTTTTATGTATAATAATTTGTTAGGAATTTCTCGACAAAAGTTGCAGTGCAATAATTCTATTTGATTGGGTAACAGGTTTGATTGTTTATTACAAATCGTAGAAAAAGAACTTAAACCAACCTTTTTTACCTTGAAAGTTGAGTAGTAACGAAGATACAAATTGAAAAGGCTTTAACGGACATTTAGAACAAGTGGTTGAAAACATTTTATCAAGGAAATTAAATGAAGTTCTGGGCGTTATAAAGCGTCTATAAAATGGACAAAAGGCGAACCAGAAATAAGGGATATACAAATACATAAAAAATTATTTAATATGTATTTTAATTTTAAATTTATATATAATAAATACGAACATATCTCAAAACAAGTTTACTTGAAGCAAAATATTAAGATTAGAATGTTGACAAAAAAAGATCAGGAGGATCAAAAGTTCTTTATATGTTCTGACGTTTTTTTAAAATAAATTCATATAATTGAAAATTTCATGATAGTCGCAGCTTGTTTTTTGATTTAAAGATTACTGAACTGATTATCATAATCAATAAAATAAAATGTTTTATTATTAGCAATTATCGCTAATTATTTTGATTTTTAATTCTACAAATATTTTTTTCCATGTGAGTGTACAGAGGGTGATCACGGGTTTCCGAACGATAAGTATTTTTGTTTTTTTTTCTTTGTTTACATCATCTACGCGTT